CGTGTCACGATATACGTAAATCGACATGGGCAACAAAGCGATGTAAAAATCAGGTGGAACCCGCTCCTCTTAAATTAGCTGCTGTTGTATTGTAATTCTGTCGCATGCTAATAGTCAAACGGTGACCCTTCCATCCCCCCCACATACTTGAAGTCCATCCTCTATTAGAAGAACATTTTGGCAAAATTTTTTTGAAAATTAGGGCATTTTCCGATTTCTTTACCGGACATGACAGAAGCCTAGCGGTCTTCTATTCTGGGGAGGGGGTTGGAAGACCACGGTCTTCTATTTGGCTTTCAAGTCATATAATCGGCAGTGGTCTTCTAATAGGGGATCGTCTTCTATTATGGAGGAGGGAATATAAGAAAAACCTGAACTCTGTAATCAGATCATGACCTTGGCAATGTTCTCTAGCTACTTCTTTATGAAAGAGTTTACACAAAAAGACATGTCCGTTTTCTATCATCTTAACAGAAAAAACATTATGCCTGTTATTCTCTGGTGCCCTTTATTGCCGACGAATGCGGAATGAATGCAATATAATTAATCTTTCTAAGAATAAAGACAGGTGAATTTGGTCGTATCAATTTCCGGTCAAAGACAATAATTTTGCTCACCGAATGTGCAGTGGCGGAATAAATCGGACATTATATGTTGCATCCACCCGACCGCTAAAGGCAAAAATAAAGATAAAAGCAGAAGAAAAGAAGTGAAATACCAAAACTTACAAGTTTTTGACCGTGGCGAATCCGAAAACGATAATAAATACCCTTTATATTGTAAAAGAAACATATTTTAAAAAACCTTGTACTTTCGTTTCCGAATGCATATTATCTATTTTCCAAAAGCATCAAGTCTACTGTATGTAACTCAGTTTAGACTCTAAACTAAATGATAAAAAAATATAAAAGAAAATTTTTTATTGAAACATATAGAGAATATTCACATGATATTTACAAGGTTTTGAGATCAAAATGGAGGAAACTGTAGCTGGCATCGTTACAGATTCGTTGACGTCTCGTTATTTTCCATTTGAAAGTATTTTTCTGCCGTGGTCAACACATTAATTCTATTTGACGTTCTACTACTAATAGTACCATTTGATTTATTTCTGTGTGGTCCTGGTTCGCACTCTATCAATAAAGTCGTTTGTCGAAATTTTTCATAATAGTCAATCTTTTGCTCTTCATCTGTGGTAGGTTTTGAATTATGTTTCCAGTAATCAGTTGTATACCATCTGAATAATGTTATCCAATTGATATAAGGTATAGCAAGAAACAGAACCGGTACAAACAACAAAATATTTGTTTCTAGTCCAGAAAATTCAAAATAAATAAATATTTGTAGAAATGAAATAAATTCTAAAAGAATAAACACACCAATGAAACTCCAAATGATCAATAAAACAATTAATATTTGTTTTCGTGTGCGATTCGTCTTCCAATTAAACCAACAGTTCGAATGTTTTAATTTTGTTTGCCACCAAAGAGCTAATTGAAGAATTTTTCTAAATAAAAATGCTAAAATTTCATGCCATTCAACCACATGCGTTAGGGTATCAATTAGATTGTCCCATTTAAATGTAAACTGGATACATCGTATTTCTAACATTTCCCCGAGGATGATGTTAGTATCGTCATTATCGATTCGTCGATTGCGACTATTGTTGTTTGCTGATGCTAATTTGCAATAGTCATAAGGTTGTACCACCTCTATTTTTTCAGGTAATGTAAATGCCCATAGCGGGTTAAATAGTCCACCAGCTGTCATATTTGTATATTTACGTTGGTTTTCCACAAAACATTTATATTCATTATTATTGTAAAACGTATTTAAATATGTTGTACATTTCTGAAAATATTCACGTCTTGTAAATAATTTTTCAGCAGTAATAACACTTAGTATAAGTAATTGAAATATGAAAAATGCTGCAAATATTCTTTCCAAATGTGTACTATTCTTATACGGTAAAATAGTTTTATTATTTACACGATGGCAAAGTGAATGATTTTCTAAATAAATTCTCTTATCATCATCTTGTTCTTGTTTCGATCGAACCACATGAACAAAAATACGTTCTAAGAAACCACGTGAACAAACATCGGATGACCAACTAATTATTTTCTTTATTATGATTGATTTTTTAAAACATTTTTCTAAGATTAATGCGATTATTGACAGGATACCTGGTATTATTGTTATGCTAATTATTGTTGCTAATAGAATCGTTGCAGAATCAAATTTGATGGGTATATCATCAATTAAATAGGCTATAAATGTTTTTTGTGACATTGTGTCAAGAATAAACCGTTTTGTTCTATGAAAATATTTAGTCTATTTTCATACTTTTATATTGCTGTTGACACACCTACCAAGCCTTGTCAATATATCTATAGACCTTTCAGTCAATCAACAAGAACATTAAGTGCGCATAATGACTACCTTTTTATTATTAACAGTCGCATGTTATGGTTATTGTAATATGATATCTAATCTACTTTGTCATTGAGATGTTGCTTGGATATTATAACAAATTTGGGTGTGCTTTTTTACTTTTTCAATATTTTACAATATTACAAAAACGAATAACCAAAAAATAAATATGTTTTTACTAACAACAAATATCATCAGCTTATTTTCATTGCGTTCCTATCTCCTATCAATGGATGGTTGACCACAACTAACACCTGATTCTGGTATTTCATGTACAGTGAGCATAAGTATGATTGTCTCATTAATCAAATGAGGACTAATTTCTTGTCATTAGATTATGATCTTTTCCAAAAGGTTTGAATCCTAAATTGTTCTGTGCTTATGCAAAAGAGGCGTCGATCAAGCATTTTCTATTGGAATGTCCAGGCTATCAGCATCATCGAAAAACATCTCTTTCTGACTGGTCATCTCTGGCTCCTACCTTCTCCTTCACAATTGCAAATTTACTTTTATTTGAAGTCACTTGATAATCCAGATAACCATGAAATTTGTAAACTACATCTTTCAGTTGGTGACACGACAGTTGAGCCTACGACATTTGAGCCCCGACAAATGAGCCTCGACAGATGAGCCTACCGACACTTGAGCTCTTGACATTTCAGTCCCCGATATTTAAGCCTCCCGATACGTGAGCCTTCGACATTTGAGCCTGTCGCAGATAGGCATTATATGACTGAGTTCGATACTATTAACGAACAGGCTAATTGATTGATTGATTAAAATGTTATACTCACGCTAATTGATTGATTGATTAAAATTTTATTTAATAATTTATTTTTTAATAATGAATTGATTAAATTTGAATTTGGCTTCCGAACGAGTTCTAAATATATATACATACGCAGAGTAAGGAACACACATCGCTCATTCTACTATCTTACTTTTCCTTAAAAATGTCTGTTGTAAAATCTTCTAAAGATAAAGATCAACTTCTTCTTGATGGTTTTCGTTATCGTCGTGCAAATAAAAGTCAAGTTACGTGGAGTTGTGTTAAAAATAATGTTCTGGTCGTGTAACTTTTGATGGTACACAATATATTAAATTAACTGACCATAGTCATGCACCAAATCCAGACGAAATAATAGCTGCCGAATTTAAATCAAAGATTAGTGAACGTGCAATAACATCACATGATCCACCTCGACGAATTATAAATGAAGCATTATTAGATGTTCATAAAGATGATGGAACAGCTATACCCAGTTATACAGCATCACAACGTACTATTGAACGCAAACGTAAAAAAGATGACATACCATTACCAAGATCAACATCATTCGAAGATATAAGTATTCCACAGCAATTGACAGTAACCAATGGTGGTGATCGGTTTTTATTATATGATAATGAAGACAGTGGCCACAGAACAATTATATTATCATCTGATGGTGACTTAAACCGTTTATCAAATTCTGAACATTGGCATGTTGATGGTACATTCAAGGTAACTTTAAGTAGATTTGTGGTTAGCTTAAGAACAAGCACTTAAACATATACTTTTTTTTGTAGGTAGCTCCACAACTTTTTTATCAATTATATACAATACATGGTTTTATTCGTGGACGTTCTGTACCACTGGTGTATGCTCTTCTTCCTGGTAAATCGGAGGCCGTTTATGGTGAACTATTTAATGTTTTGGTACAAAATGTCAGCAAACACCCAAAATCAATTACAATTGACTTTGAGAAAGCGGTCGAAAATGTTATTAAACAAAAATTACCAACAACAACAATCAGCGGATGTTTTTTTCATTTTAAACAAGCTTTATGGAGAAAAATACAAGTACGTTTATAAATAAAAGTCATATAATGCCCATCTGCGACAGGCTCAAATGTCGAAGGCTCACGTATCGGGAGGCTTAAATATCGGGGGCTGAAATGTCAAGAGCTCAAGTGTCGGTAGGCTCATCTGTCGAGACTCATTTGTCGGGGCTCAAACGTCAGAGGCTCATCTGTCGGTGTATCCTTTCAGTTACCACCTACATTAAAAAATCGTGACACGACATTTCCGCGCATGATATTTCCGCGCCGACACTTCCGCGCCGACTTTTCCGCGCACGACATTTTCGCGCGCAACACTTCCGCGCACGATACTGGCGCGCAAAGACGTTTCCGCGCAGAGACATTTCCGCGCTTGATACTACCGCGCCGACACTTACGCGCAAAATGAAGTTTTTCTGTTTTCTTCATGTTAAGATAATAGTTCTTTCAAACTTTGTGAATAACTGTTCTGTTCCCATATTATCGGATTAATTAAACTCATCTGTTTAAATAAAAGAAAGATGTTCTATTCCCATATTATTGGATCAATTAATATGAATAAAAAGCTGATCAAGATCATAGGCTTAATTAATACAATTGAAATATAACTGAGTTGAAGATAAGATGAAGTAGGTGAAATATAAATATAAATATAAGTTACTTACATCATTCCGATAACTTCTTAAATCAAAAATATGTCTCTCGTTAAGTCAATCAAAGGCAAAGATCAAGTTCTTCTCGACGGTTTTCGTTATCGTCGGGATAGATTAGTTTGGCGTTGTGTAAAAGATAATTGCAAAGGTCGTGCTCGTTATGATGGAGTAATGTACGAAATGTATCAAGATCATATATGTCAAGCGCCAGATCCAAATGAAATTGAGAAAGCTGTGTTCAATCATGAAATTAGACAGAAGGCAGAACAATGTCATGATCCACCAAGATTAATTATACAAGATGCACGGCTCAAATTATCTTCAGATGCCGCTGCTACTATTCCTCAATACACAGCATCACAGCGTGCAATTCAACGTATTCGACAGGATAAAAATATTCCAACAGAACCCAAAACATTTGCCGATATTGTTATTCCGCCAAATTTTCAAATTACTGTTACAAACCAACAATTTCTATTATATGATAATAACAACCATCATCAAAGGGTATTAATATTCGCCAGTACCGAACAATTAGATCTTTTGAATGGATGTGAAAGTTGGCATTGTGACGGCACGTTCGCTGTAAGTTTTCGAAATAACAAGTCAGAGTCCTGCAGTATATCTGTTTTCTCATTTATAGGTAGCTCCTAAGTTATTTGAACAAATGTATTCTATTCATGGTTCAATACGCGGAAAAACGTTGCCGTTATTGTACGCCCTTTTACCAAATAAAACTCAAGGAACATATGAAGAATTATTCAAAATAGTTGATCAGCACATTCAACACAAACCAAAATATGTAACAATTGATTTTGAAAAAGCAGCCGAAAATGCGCTTGCTACTGTATTTCCTCAATGTGATATATTTGGTTGTTTTTTCCATTTCAAACAGTGTGTATGGAGAAATATTTGCGTAAGTTTATTTTAATTATGAGATAGTAAGTGGAAGTTTTATCTTGCGCTATCTATAATAGTCTATCTTTTCTAATAGGAATTACGTTTGAGAAAAGAGTTTCTTGAAAATGCAGATAGTCGTCACACAATGAAAAATTTAGTCGCATTAGCCTTCGTTCCACAGCAAAATGTTATTCAAGAATTTACTCAAATAAAAGAAAATGCGCCAGATGTATTAGATGGTAAGCAGAAGAAAATGTTAGTATGTGTAAACAGAGACTTCATCTGATAGCTTTAATTTTCAGAGTTATTCGTGTATTTTGAAGACAATTTTATTGGCAGAAAAATGTCAAGAAATCGTAGAAGAAATCCTCGTTTTAGTGTGCTAATGTGGAATTGTTTTTCAAGAGTTGATTTAGATTTACCTCGTACAAATAATGCTGTTGAGGGATGGCATAGCGCTTTCCATGTACGTATAACTAGATCTTTTATCCCTTTTTCTATTGAATGTTTTATGTCTAGAATGTTGTGGGTGATCATCCGAGTATTTACAAATTTATCAAAGACATCATAAGAGAAGAACAAAATACAGCTGTAGTTTCAAATCAAATGCTTGCTGGTACACAAACACAAACTAAACGAAAAAAATACGAAAAAATAGATGATCGAATAAAAAATATGGTAAAAGATTTTAACGTTGTTTCACGTGAAGACTATTTTAAAATGGCTAGATCAATCTTCAACTTTTAATTGTTTGATTCACTACCCATTAACTGTAAAATGATATTTATCTGTGCTCTTTTCTTTACTGGTATATAATTCACGTTTTTCATAAACATTTAACCTACTTAGCTTCGGTTTCAAGAAAAACTTCATTTTGCGCGTAAGTGTCGGCGCGGTAGTATCAAGCGCGGAAATGTCTCTGCGCGGAAACGTCTTTGCGCGCAAGTATCGTGCGCGGAAGTGTTGCGCGCGAAAATGTCGTGCGCGAAAAAGTCGGCGCGGAAATATCATGCGCGGAAATGTCGGTCAATCTTAAAAAATACTCAATATTGAAATCCTTTGCCGCTCCGTTTCTTTGTTCTACATTTATCTACGTATCTTTCCTTTTCCTTTTTCTTCTTTTTCTTTTCTTTTACTTTTCGTTTTTACTGATATTCATTCATCTTTGAAACGACACGCAGACAAAGTTCAGCCGATAGCTGAGGGTATGTTGTTTTTTGAGACACGTTTTCAGAACTTTTTCCATGTAATATTCTGTGGTTGTAAAAACGTTTTCGCGATTTTTCATTAATCTGCTGGTGATGTTGATAAATCAAAATTCACGGGATGAACGGAATAAGACAGCTGTAAGGGATTAATGGACGTGGTACATGAAAAATCTAACTCCACTACTATCGGTCCAATCTTTCTTGTTTTGGGCGCTTAAGGGTTTCTTGACATGCTCTCTCTTTTGTCTAGCGGAAGGTTTTTCCAAAGTGCTCGAAAGTAGGATTTATAGAAAACCACGGCTTTTGACGTACAGGTTCTCAGCAAAATTAGTTTAAAAAGAAACTAAACGTCAGATTAATTAATTAATTTTGAACGTAACATTCGTATTCAGCATTGAAAGACGAACATTTTTAAAAAAAAAACAGTCTCCAGCGCAAAATCGGAATTTTTAAATTAATTTTCAAATTTTAAATTTTCAACGTTTTTTACATTTTAAATATCTCAGCTCAGCAAGGTGATAGAGAGTTGATTCAAACGGCATTCGAAAGAGAACTGAAAGCTAAATGAACGTGAACGTTTATGAAAGTTCCAGTATCTGATGTTCCTGGTTTTTGAAGAGTTTTCCAAAACAACTTTTTTAACTTTTACTTTAAAGTTTAAAGCATTTTAGGGTACACATTTATAACTAACTTTGCAGGAGAGGATTTGGCTGTTATAGCATAACGACTTTACCGCATGTACACTTATGCAATAAGGCAACAATCATCTCCATTCACTCCTGCATTAGCAAACAGAGAAAACAGGTATGATTCAGTAATTCACTAAATACCACAACGGATTTCCGTTGTTTACCTGTTTTCTCTTTCTGCTAATGCAGGAGTGAATGTAGATGATTGTTCCCTTAAGCGCCCAAAACGAGAAAGATTGGAACAGTAGTAGTGGAGTTAGATTTCTCATGTACCATGCCTATTATATCGACCACTTTTTTAACAAAGTAAATATTTCAACAAATTTGATCTTAAACTTATTTTTGACCGTTTTTATTAGTTGGATGCAGTTTTTGAACTGACATGTATACCGGAGAGATGCAGTTGCAGTTAAAAAACGATTTTCTCTGAAAAACTGCAAAGAAGCAAAAAATACGGTAAAAATACGGTCATAAACTAAATAGAAGTGAGAAGATTGGTGTATTGAAAGAACAGATATGAATTAAAATGACTGTTAGAAATGGCAGCAAAAGAGCTTCGTTTCATATTTAATGGAAAACTATATTGTCACGCATGGGGAGTTGCGATGCGAAGTCTTCTGAGAACACTATTCGCTAGTTTTTACATAAACCATCTAAAGTCAAATATTAACAAATAAAAGCAGATATTAACAAATTACTTGATATTTTGAACAGTTTCTATAGTGACATACAGTTTACAGTTGGAAGCGAGAAATAATTATCTTCCATTTCTTGACATATTTACTCGAATGCCTCACTCGTCTCGGTTAGATTCATTTGCAACTGCTGTCTACAACCTTACATTCACTGGTTTATTATTGAACTGGACATCATTTAACCCTAATAAGTTTTCGTCTATTAGTTCAATAATATACAGAACAATAGAAATCTGATCATTTTAGCCACGAAACGTCGTTCAAACTCAAATTAGAAAAGCACGAAACAGACATTTTGAAAAGCCGAGAAAGGCATACAACACCATTCAACGCAAAACTGTTAGAATATTCCAGAAAAATATCAAATTTTTATTGATTTAGCTTTTATAGGTACAGAACCTAACCGAGACGAGTGAGGTATTCGAGTAAGCAATATGTCAAGAAAATATACTAATTCGAGAATCATTGTAAATTCTTCACAGAAAATCAAGTTTGAACAGAACAGTTTCATCTGCACCTTTGATTATTTATTCTGAAGACTACGTGTTTCGAAAGCAAAGATTAGTATTTTAGTTAAAGATTAGTATCTTTAGTATTTGTATTTTTTCTTGAAAATGATACGTGATGTATCGAAACGTCGACAATAAACGTTAGATAAAAAGACATAAGCTTTATCTGAGAGATTCAAAGCTGTCGCTAAACGATTACTGCTGAATAGTAATGATACTAATAATTTTGCTTCTCTCTCGTTCAAGTATACAACTTTATGAACAGTATTTTTTGATGTCAACAGCAGATTAGTATCCGTCGATGATTTGGAGAATAAAATTGACGTATATTTCTGTAATAGTGCTCTAAGAATTCTAGAAATAACATTGGGTTCTACATAATGCATAAGATGCACTACCTTTTAGAATTCATAAAATCATCTTTAGAATATTAGTGTAAAGCATTAGAATTATCTAAAGAACCATCATTCCAAGCGTCAAAAAAAAATCTAGTATCGTCCGATTCATCTAGATTACTAGATTTTTGCTCGATTGCAACTACTGTGTAACGATAGTGGAAATCTAGTAATTGGACGATTACTAGATTTTTTCTAGTTGCAACTATCGATTTATCTCCCGATAATCGAGCGATTAACTATTGCTAGATGCACCTGCAGACGCATCTAGTTAAAAGTCCCTTTTCTAACTAGTAATCTAGATGGCAACTAGTCGTGTATCGCCCGATTATGGACTAAATGTATCTAGATTTTTCTCATGGGTGTTGTTTGCTAGGGATCTCGAAATGGAACGATTTTATTTGGCTGTTGAACATTTCAAACTAGTAGTAATTTTATTAATCAAGCGTAAGAATAGTCCTCAAAATTCATTAGTAGCGGTGTATAATGAAATAGGTTTTTCTTATTCTATGATAGAAGAAGATAATAAATTAAACCTAGTTTTAAATAATTGCTTAGAATCATTAGATATTCATGAAAAACACTTATTCCCTTCTTGTCCATTAGAATATGCTAATGATTTTAATAGTATTGCTTAGATTTATTATAAAATAAACTATAGAACGTAGCAGAGTTTTGTCGTAAAATTAATGTGTGTGTTTTTCGATAGTTTTAGTTTAAAATACTATAATGGAATAAATTTCCGCTTGTATTTTGACAGAATAAAACTCATATCAACACTCAAGATCGTTCTCTTATTACAGCTTTTATCATCGTAAAAGTCCACTTTTGAAAAATTTATCCTGTAATTCACACATTGCAACAGTCTATCTGGAATGAGATAAGTTACTGCTAAGAATTAAAATGAAAAAAACTTCGGCATCTGCCCCGGATGTTTTTCCAAAAGGTAAATCTTATGTGTCGTCCTTTCATATCAATGTGAAGACTAAAACTAAACGTATTTTCTCATCAAGAAAATTTCTTTCCATCATTTTGCTTAAAAATTATTTCATAGTATGGTTTGGAATGGTAAGCTTTCGGATTTTGTGTCGAATAGTACACCGTGGTAAACCTGATCGGAAGCCCTGATTTTCCCATAGATTTACCTCCCAAACTGTCTAGCTTCAGAATCTGAAATCCGCAGGTCTCGATCGCCTTTCGTTCACGAGTTATTCAAAAAATAACCATTACCACTATTTTTTTCTCGACAATACTGCTTGTACATATTGAAGCCAAATTCTAGTTCTAATTTTCGTCATCATCAATATTTATGAACAGAATAAGATTTTGCTTCCTGTACTTCTCAAATGGAGTTAATAAAACTTTCATCCAGCCTAACAATGAACTGACGCGAGCTATTGGTGGTGGTTGGGGTTTTTCAATTTTCTTGTGAACTTAACAGTGTTAAGTTCCCATCATTTCATCATCATCAAAATCATCCACGTCGACAATATTTAACGGTCGTTTATTCGCGGTCTTGATAGAATGTTAATGATGTTGTCTGCAAATTTAAAACAGGTGCGTTTGCCAGTTACGGAGATATATGTTAGTTGAGTGTTCTTTCTCTTTTGACAAACTTCTTCGTCTGCAAGAGCCAGTTCGTTGTCTCCCAACACATTGTTGATCGGGAACTTCTGATTATCTATAATAAGGAAACCTACAGAACCACCAGTGGTCCATTTGAGTGGTGGTCCACCACTCAAATGAGGGAATCAAAACTGTAAAAGATTAGTAAAAACTTTATAAGGCTTCATTTTATCGAGGGTAACTGCTATTTCGCTTATGTGTCGTCCTTTAACTGCGTTTATTTTGCGCAGAGTTGTGAATACAGATCGGACCGTGTCTGCTCACTCTGCAGCTTCTTTTAAGCACCAGACGTATTTCTGGTTTTCTATTCTAATTATAATCTGCAAGAAACGTATATTTTTTTCAATTCTTTTAACTGATAAAATAACAGGTAAAGATTTTTCAAAGAAAAAGAAACACGCTGGAGTGGATAAAATTAGAGGGGGAAAAAGCGTATCCGGAATTGATGTGGATCCAAGCGGATTCAAACGGGTACAAAAGGTGTCTAGAATGAAAGAACATGTGATTTTATGGTGTTCCAGATCCCTCGTTGCCCTTCGGACTTGATTTCTGTGAGAAAGTTGATTAGCATTCACCAACAGCTTCGTGAACCCATTGCGATGTGTTGTCGTACTTTTCTCAGAATGAACAAGTTTGAAGGAAAGTCTTATATACCATTCGAAGCAGCTTTAAACGGCGACCAAAACCGTCTATTGCTTAATTGTTATGTGCACTGCGAACGCCCACGTTTCTGGAATATTACTGTTAAAAATGACCTTTTCAGTATAGTCCGCGATTTCTACTTTTTCACCATGAAAGAACTAGGATTGCGGCCTACATTATATATCAAAAGAAAGCTCTTTCAAAACTCTACAAAATGGCTGGTAATCCATTTCTAGACGAAAGTGCGAGTTTTGAAAGAGCTTTCTTCTGATATATGTAGGCCGCAATCCTAGTTCTTTCATGGTGAAAAAGTAGAAATCGCGGACTATACTGAAAAGGTCATTTTTAACAGTAATATTCCAGAAACGTGGGCGTTCGCAGTGTACATAACAACTAAGCAATAGACGGTTTTGGTCGCCGTTTAAAGCTGCTTCGAATGGTATATAAGACTTCCTTCAAACTTGTTTCATTCTGAGAAAAGGACGAAAAACACATCGCAATGGGTTCACGAAGCGAAATATTCGTTTTGCCTTACTTATCTGTTTAAAAAGTATAAAAGGTTTATAGACGGCTTTTGTACCCCTAGGACAACTTTCGGATATCTAAGGACCCTTGGGGATCTTCCTGGATCCGCTTTTTCCGCCTTGGTAAAATTGCTTTCAGGTCTACTTAAGAATTTAACAGTAGTATTTGTCTATTCCTTTCTTTTTTTTGTGTTCGTAACCATATATTAGTATCGAATCTAAATCGAACTCAACTATTAACCAAATAATCCTTTTCAATCTTTAAAACTGTTTTTAATATGACATATATTTGTTTTGTCGATCTGTTTGGGTTCTTTCTACGAAGATCGTCGAAAGGTCACATCTGCTGTTTTTTATTTTTTTGTTTTTACTGTAAACCAGAAAACTCATTGACATGAAACAAAAAGAAAATCGAACGATTTCGGTTTTCTCCACCAAAACTTGAATCGCATCGCTCTATGGCTCAATGCTCCCTGCCATCCACTGTGGCTACGCCACTGCCATTTCCCATACAATCGAATTGTGGACATTTACCGTTTTTGAAGAACACGGTTCGTATATGAACTGATACTTTGAAGTCTTCCTTTGTAATACAAACTGAATCTCAAGGTTGGATTTCGTTCAGTATTCAACACTCTATAAAACTACATGTGACTTGGTCGGTAAATGTATTCAGATTGGTTCTAGGTTTTACTGAAAAAGCAAACACAAAGGGGTTCTTATGGTCATGAAACATTGTACTGCATATATAACACCCTTTTGCATATCTTTAATGACTGGTCCCCACGAGTCAAGCTATTCTAACTAGTTCACTTTGTAGAGAATTTCACGGGTTATCCACTGATATTCTTTTGAAAAATATATAGCTTTTTATTAAGGCAGAAAAGATTTCTAAAAGAGTATTCTGCAGATGTTTTCGGTAGTCTAACGCGTTCTTTGCATGTCTTTTGTGACTGGTTCCACCAGTCAAGATATTCTAACTAGCTCAGTTTGTAGAGAATTTCACGGGCTATCTAATTATGTATAACTGGAAACTTATGTCCGTTTTTGGCAAGATTTTCTGGTTAATGACCTTTCGACGTTCAATATTCCTGTATACTATATGTAAAATAAGTCTAAATACTATTCCTTTGTAACATAAGCTGAATCTAAAGGGTGCATTTTGTTCAGAATCCAACACTCTATAAAACTAAATGTGACTCGGTCGATAAATGTATGCTTTTCGAGGGACAGGCTCCGTCAAGATCCTCCTTAGGGTTTCTTGTCCCCAAAAAGCTTTTTAGTGTTTTGACCATATGTATAATACTCCGTCCGACCCAATTTTGTTCGTAGATTACGAATATGGCGTTAAAACTGGTTGATAAGTAACTCAGACCAAACAAAATCAAGTTTAAGTACAAAATATACCTTATTGTGGTATACAAAATCTGATATATAGCTTTCTGCTTTGACATACTTTTGAAAATCAACATGGTCCTTTCTGATGTATTTCAAACTTCCTTAATTATCAATGCAGTCTTGTGAGAGTTCAAAGCAATAAGATTCATATTACGGCTATATTATCTGAAGACAAATATTACACGTTCTAATGACCTTCAAGGCATGACACCACACACATGATGTAAAACTGAAGAAAGAAAGAAAAGAAATGAATATAAAAGTACGTTTTCTTTCCTTTCTTTTTGCGTTTCCGTTTCTTTTCATCACCTTGTTGTTGTTTTCACCATGAGCCATTAGACAACTTGCATCAGCCAACTTGCATCAGCCGTTCAAATAATATATATATATAATATTTTTTTTTGTCTAATTAAACAACGATAATGATTACAGAACAAAAAGATATTAATTCTATTGCAATTATTGGTGGTGGTCTTGGTGGTCTTTGTCTTGGACAATTATTAAAAAAATCATCATCAAATCTAAATGTAACTATCTATGAACGTGATTTAGAAGAAGATGGACGTGAACAAGGTTATTTAATTGGTTTAAATCAAATGGGCTTGGATGTTTTAAAAAGAATTGATCATGAAAATAATTTAAATATAAATTCGATATTTAATAATACAATATCATCTTTTACAATTGTTGATAAGTATTTAAATAAATTATTTCGTGTAGGTGGTGATGGAAAACATTCAATAAAACTTGTTGATCGTTGGCAATTACGTAAAACATTAAGTAAAAATTTAAATATAAAATGGAATAAACGCTTTTTATCATATGAAGAAATAAACAATAGTATACTTGTTTATTTTGATGATGGTACAATGATTCAAACAGATATATTAATCGGTTGTGATGGTGCAAAGTCACGTCTACGTAAACAATATTGTCCACAATTAAAAAATGAAGATGTGTGTGTAAGATGGATTGGTGGTATAACAACACAACCATTAAATAAAGAAGATTCTAAATTAATACAATTAATGGATAATAGTGGATTAAGAATATGTGGAGAAAATGGACATTCTCTTTTAGCATTTATATTTCGAAGTCATAAAACACCAACGATTGAAAATGTTTTATGGAGTTTATCGTGGCCAACAGAAGTAAATGATCCTAATTCGGATAATGATAATAAAACATATTGTTTAGCTAAAGTTCAAAATTATTTTAAACATCCAGAATTTAATGAATTAATTGAAAATACACAAACATTTTTGGGACCAAAAAATGTTTATTCAAGTCAACCGTTGAAAAAAAATCCATTTTTACTATCAACTAGTAAAACAGGTAGAATAACAATGCTAGGTGATGCGGCACATCCAATGACAACACATGCTGGTATGGGTGCAAATACAGCATTTGCTGATGCGCAAGATCTTGCTGACGCACTCATCACAATAACGGAAGCAAATTTATCAAACTCAATTGAAATATATGAAGAAAAAATGTTTAAACGTGGTTTTAATGCTGTTAAACAGTCATTACAAAGTACTCGTGTGATACATATGAGAGGTACAAAAGCATTTATTCGAAATTCAATATTGTATATGATTAGTTATGTGATAACAAGCATAAATTTTTTTAAAATAATTTGGAATTTCCTGTTACGTAGATAAATTTCATACATTCTTTTACTCTTTTTTTTTTTGTTTATTTGATGTAGTTAGTTTTTGAGAGTGTCACAATACATAAATATACGGATATATTTCGCCAAATGATCTTCACACAGTATCAAAAGTATTTATTTATTCGTTCTCCTGTTAAATAATCTCTGAAATAACTATTCATTCCAAAATGGAAGGTATCTGGTACTATATCAAATACTTTTTTTGCAGCGGAAAAGGCTAGAACTTTGCATTATTTATTTTGTCTCAAACATATTGTTTATCTGAAATAAACAATGTTAAAACCGGGTTTCCAAACAGTGTCTTCGACAAATAAGGGTGAAATCTTATGAAGCCCTAACGGCTTTTCGAATTTCAGTATCATGCTGTCATACTCCAAAATGACGACTATGTTAAGGGCTATTGCTTGGTATGGACGACCAAAGTTGTTCAATCACTGTTCGAGAGTAGAGTTCTAATCAAAATTTGATTTTTTTATTCAATACTTCTTGGAATCTAGAAGTTCTTGTGCCACTAGGATCTACTGATGTTGGACTATCGTAGTCTGGAAGTCGATTTATGGCAGATTCTCTAATGGCAGAGAGAGAGAGCGCCAAAGGAGAGCTCTGAAAAACTATTTATATTAACTCAAACTAACTTTGACTTATCGTAAATCAAATGTAAAAATATTGAGAAGGGAGCACTCATCGATTCTGTACATGTGTGAGCATATGCAGCCAGAAGGATTCTCATAACTAAAATTGAAAACAAAAAATTCTCCGAAAACTGATTAGCCTTTCACTTAAAAATATTACTTTGGAAGTAGTATGATTCTTAAGAATCTCAAGCCCAGTAACTTAATAACATTTTATTCACAATATTTCGTTGCGCCCTGGACCGTATTTAAAACATTAACACATGTTTTATGTACCTACTGCAATGAAATCCAAAACTTGGTGAATTGGTCAGTTATAGCTAATTAAATGTAGCGAAGTAACGACAAATTATTAATCGTTTCTATTTAATAATTCTTGTTTTAAATTCATCAAGTTTAGGTATATTCAGTACAACACGATGAATGTCAGTAGATGATAATGTTAATAATAATGAAATGCTTGATTTTACTTGTATTGATTTTTCGGATTTCACTTTTCAGTTTGAGCATACAAGCATATACCTAGATCTTATGCATTGAGTTTATTAATACAACGTCGAACGTGTCTTGTGAATGTTAACTAAGATCTAGAGAATAGAAAAACTGTATAATAATGTAACGTCACGAGTTTCGTCCAAAATCCTTTTTATTTTCAATTCTATATCTATCATTCGGTATTGGTGAGTGATATAAACGATAAGATTTATCGTTTGTAACTTTTTCTTGTCGGGATGTGCTTTTGCATTGTTATCAAGGCATAAAAAGTCCATTATTGATTTTCGTAAAGCCCAATTAATGGATGATGGATGCAAGTGAATTAAAAATATTCATTCTTGCTTCTCCACTTAGCAGAACGTTGGTACCGTACCGCAAGAGAAATTATCATTCGTGGTAATTAATCGTTGGCTGCTTTAACTTTAACAATCTGTATTATCTATTCATATTTCTGAAATAGGCCGAGATGGTGTTTTTGTAATGATTGTTGTCCCTTCTTTTTTGATAAAGTACCATTGTTGTAATAATTTTCATTTTTATTGTATTTTACATCTCAGCCATTCAATGTTTCTACTATTTATCGCGCTTGCTTTACTCCACGCCTTTGTGTTTATCACTTGTTTCGAATAAATTTTAATTGTACTTACAAAGTCTAGAAAACCTTTAAATACGAGATGCCACTTTGTTACTTCGAAGAGGAACAGTGACACATAATAGGTTGGTTAAAGTTCGACATTTTTTAATTCTATTTGTATTGTGTGATTAAGATCGCTGGATGACTTCGTTTTGAAAAATAGTTTTTAACAGTAAGTAAATTTCTTTCTTTTTGCTTGTAAAGCTAGGATACGGAAAAAAGAGAAAGAATAAAAACATATATATTCATTTTCTCTTACTTTCTGTTCATGTGGGAATAAGTAACAGTGTAACGAAGAAATGTTTGACGTCCATTTTAAATATTCTGTTGAAGAAATTCTGCACATGCAAAAGATGCTTTATTGAAATAGGACAAAATTGCCTCAGAAAAATGGAAAACACAAATTCCGAAAATGTGTCAAGTGCTTGCCGATTTTCACAACGAAATGTTGAAGATTTTGTTGTTGTTTGGCTTGATGCAAATATTACAGAAAATTATGATGATAAATGAAATTCTCTAACTCAACTACAGCGAATTGTAAACAATGTCAAAATATTTCCTGAGCGTGATCTCTGTATAGATTTTATCACAAATATTCGTGATGAAAAAGTGTTTCTTGTTATTTCGAGTTCTTTTGGTGAACAAATTATGCCGCTTATTCATGATTTACCCCAACTGAATTCAGTCTATGTTTTTTGTGCTGATAGATGCAAACATGAACAATGGTGTGGGCAATTTGGAAAAATACGCAGTGTTTTCACGGATATTCAAAGCGTCTGCGATACACTAAAACAAGATACAGCTGTGCTTTCGCATAATCTTATAACAATTACAATGCTTCCTCCAACTCACGATGTTGCGGTCAAAGTTTCAAATAAACAAGAAGCACTATTTATGTATTCGACGTTAGTTAATGAAATTCTTGTACAAATGAAATATTCTGTAGATGTTAAAAAAGAGATGATTGCATTTTGTCGTTCACAATATGTCGATAATGCATATGAATTAAAAATCATTGATGCAGAATTATAAGCAAGTGATGCTATTAGATGGTACGAAATGTTGTCCATTTCGCATGATAAATAAAGCCCTGCGTACACATGACACTGATATTCTCTATAACCTTCGTTTCTTCATTAAAGATCTTCATCATCAATTATGTGCTGAGTACTTATCTAAAAAGCATGCTGAAACAATAACAACTGTTTATCGCGGTCAAGAAATGTCAGGTAGTGAATTTCAAAAAATATTGAAAACTAATGTTGGTGGACTTTTATCAATTAGTAATTTTTTGTCAACAAGTACTGACAGTGGGGTAGCTGCGTGTTTTACAGAAGGCGGTACAAATCTGGCAGTTGTTTCTCTTTTGTATGGAATTGATGTTGTTCCAAATCTTCGTACAAATCCTTATGCTAACATTGACAATTTAGCTATATTCAGTCGGAGAGCGAAGTACTTTTTTCGATGGGTGTTGTATTTCGTATTCAACCTGTTGAACATTTAGACGGTCAACTAGGGATGGTTAGTTTGAAATAGACCGAAGATGAAGATGAACAACTTGTAGAATTAGCTGAACACATGAGAAAAGAAATTGGCGGTACATCTAGTTTGATTAATTTAGGAAGATTAATGAGTATTATGGGCGAATTAACAAAAGCTGAACAGTTTTATCAGGTATTGTTAAATGATACATCGATTGAGAATGATCCTCATCGACCTGCGGTGATTTGTAATAATCTGGAAATTATACACGATAAACAACATAATTCTGACCAATCACTAGCTTATTATGAAAGGTCACTTAAATATGAATTGTCTACAGTTTCACCAATGCAAGCACTGATTTCCTCACTTTATAACAATATTGGATCTATACACTGTGCTCATGCAAGATATACTGAAGCATTGCCCGATTTTAATAAGGCACTTGAAATTAGGTTAGCAACTTTGCCACCGAATGATAGATCACCGATCAGCACACCATTTTTGACTCAGATGGTGTGCGTGAGACCTGATCTCATCCTGTTGATACATCCAATGGATCCCCAACATTTTGCTTCCACTTAAGAGAGTCACTGGAAGAGTTTCCTCGATTTTTCTGTCTGCATTCACTGTTCAGTTGTCCAAAATGATCGGTGTTGTTAGGTTCTCGCTACATGCACCAAGCTACACCATCACTTTCATTTGTAATTTGGTTTTCTATTTGACACCACCATTCTAATCAGCTTCTGAACGGTTGACTACCCATACTCGATCGTTCTAGGCGTTGTACACTCCATCCGAATCAAACCGCTTTTCGTCAGGAAAAAGCCAATTTTTCGTGTCAAACAGTTTACAAACTGTACCTCTTCTTTTTCTGGAGTTCAGAGAACGTTGTCTCCTTGACTTTCTTGTATGTGCAGCGATCAAGATCGTTGTGCAACATTAGCTGGGTGCTTCTTCCTGAGATTTTCATTTCACCGGCCAATTTCCTTGTTGACACCTGTTTTTTCCGACACAGGTGTAGTTAACCTTTGAGATGTTTGCTTTTATCCGAACTGTGCTTGGATGACCAGGAGAGTAAGATAGAACCATAGTACAAGTGTCCTTGATCATTTGTAAATGTCTAATGAGGCTATCGGCACAAATTATAAATATCTAAATATCTTTTTTCGCTGGGGAGAAAAAAATGCAGGCTGCAAAAATAAAAAAGAACACAGATGCATTTTGGTCATGACGCCACAAATTTGGGTTGAGAAAGCGGTAACTTACCGATGAAGTGAGCCAAACTTTTCATTTGCTCGTCTGCCCTAATCGCTTTTTATTTCTAATGACCCGAAGAATGTAAAAATCAGACACTTCCCAATTCTGATGAAGACAATAAATGGTCCATTTCCTGTGCACTCTGGCATGACTACCCAGTGAAAAAAAACGAGCGTGATTCCGCAAGTTCCTGGGGGAAAAATGAAACATTTTCACGCGGGAAGTGAAAGTCTTCTGCAGGAAAAGAAGCACTTTTCCCGCCGCATTCTGCAGGAATCT